ATATAAACCCTCCTCTTTCTTGCTAATTAGACTCCCGGCGCTCCACCGGGGCCTAGCTGTGGATGTCTGCATCCAGATTCCTCGGTCCTTGGATGGGGTTTCTGGCACAACTATTAGGGTGTTTGGCCATCCCATCACCAGAGTAGTCTTGATGAGTACAGCAAAGAAACAATCAGAGAAACAGTGAACTCACATATTCATACAGTTATAATGAAGGTGCCCATGAAAATGTTAAAGAAGCTGTGAGTGTGACATCTATCCAAGTGGGACATGAAATCACTATGCCTGTTTTATTAACATCAGAGTGCAAAGAAATTAAGATACAAAGCATGCTCTCAATTGACTAAAGATTTTGCTTTTTCAGATTCAGAAACAATTGAAGAAGAGAAGGAAACTATCAAAAGAAATGACAAAGCAAACTTGCTTAGGTAGGTAATTCCAAGGAGAACATAAATTAAATGTAAAGATATCCTATCCAATTAAAAAGCTGTGTGGAGCCTTCCTCATGACAAATAAAAAATGCAACCACAAAAATAAAACTGAATAAACTGGAGGTTAAAGTTCCCAAACGTTCTAACTGCTTGGAGTAAAGGCTCTGTTCAACGTGAAATAGAAATTTTTAGAAATGTGAATAACGTCCTTGGGAAGAATAAAGTTCAAAATGTGTCAATATATGATTCATACAAAACATTGTCTTTCTGAAAAATAAGTTACAAAACAAAATAGAATTTCATAGAGAAAGAGAAGCAAGGGATTTTGCTGCATGAACATTCTATTTTAGATTCATCTGGAGGAGTTAAGATATAACATGACCTTGCTGACCTCAACAAGGGCAGGAGAAAGGTGACAATAAGAAGGACACATAAAACTAAGGATGAGGTCTACTGGAATCAAACATTTTTTTTAAAACTTTAGTTTAAAACATTGCGAAGGTAAGTAGGAATTTTATCTGAATATTGTTTTCAAGAAAAATATTTTTTATGGTAACATCATTTTATCAAATGCTACAGAATTTAATCCTATCTTCTCAATAGAGCCTTGGGTTGAAAAAAACACTTTAAAATATTTTTATTATACTTTGGACAATTTTATACAATATATTATATTCTCCCTCACTCTTCCCCTTAACTCATCCAAGTAATATCTCCCACTGCTCTACCTACCTTCCTACTTTAAGCCCTATTTCTTTGATTTTTCATAATTCACTGAATACAACCCACATACTCATGAGTATGGGCCTATTCACTGAAGTGACAATTTCATAATTTAACATCCAACTTCTATGGGGACAAATCATGTTAAAGATAAATTGTTGGATATTGGGTTATAGCTCAGAAGCAGCGTGCTTGTCTAGCATTAGCAAAGCCATAAGCCAAACTAGATAGATACATAGATACATAGATAATAGGTATATACATGGATAGATTGATAAAAACTACTAAGAGTTATTCAACAGTTTTTAGTATACTTTAAAACATAGTCAATGTGTGTTTTGGTAAAGGATCAGATGTTTATATGCTACCACCAAAGATACTGGTTTGGCTAGTCCTCTTATGTAATAGGATAATGTTATCATTTCATTCAAGTCCATTCATGAAAAGAGTTATTTGATATTTTTTTTTTAGCTACAAAGGTAGGCCTAGACAATTATAGGAATTTTTTAAGGTGGACTGTGTTAGCCAGGGTTCTCTAGAATATCAGGATTTATAGAAATAATCTCTCTTGATATATATGTAGAGAAGAGATTTATTAGAATTACTTATAGGCTGCTTTCTAGCTAATCCAACAATGGCTTGTTTTGAATGGGAAGTCCAAGAATCCAGTTTTTTCTCAGTCCACGATGTCGGATGTTTTTCTACTCTAAAAATAAATCTTTACATGCATATAATGTGTTTTGATAATTTTCACCTCCTCCTCTCTCATCCAATTGCTGCTCCATCCCCATTATCACGTTTCCCTCCTGATCTCATCTTCTCTTTTGTACCTATGTATGCGCATCTCTCAGACCTCATCAGAAAAAGGCCTCTTGTAACACTAGATGACAATCAGTAAAGAGACTTGTAACTAGTCCAAGTGTAGAGAAAAAAAGAGACTATGGAGTGCTCAGCTCTCACTGGGAAGTCTGTATCTTACCTTCTACACAAAAGGTTCAGGGATCTTAGCAGACAAGGAGATGAAAAAGCTGTTAGGGGTAGATTGAGTGGGCAGCAAAACAGTCTTTGCAGGACATGACAAGGTAGTTGCTCTCATGAACCCACAGCAGCTGGGACTGCATTGACAATATTTGTTATGGATCCAGCCAGCTAAAATCCCAACATAGATGGGGTGGGGCGTTTGTGAAGTTCCAGGACACTGTCTGGAGCTGTTGGCAATTAGTGACTTTTGGAGCAGGGAAAGTCAATTTTCTTCAGAGATCCCAGCCCTGAGAGGCAACCCATGATTGAGTAAAGGGTCCCATGTGCATGAACATACCAACAGCATTGAATGGACTCAGTGGCTATTAAATAGAAAAATTAATTAATTAAAAATAAAAAGAGAGAGAAGATATCTCGTTGCTTATACTAAAACTCCCATAAAACTGTGTGGTAGCATTGTATTTGTGCTCTAATAAATAAAGCTTGCCTGGAAATCATAGGAAAAAGCCAGCCATTATAAGTAAACACAAAAGTCAGGCCATGTTAGCACAAGCCTTTAATCCTATCACTTGGGAGGCAGGGATCTGTCTGTATCTATGTGAGTTCAAGGCTACACTAGGAATAGAGCCAGGCGTGGTTGCACACACCTTAAATTCCAACATTAGTTAACCATGGAAGTGTGGAGGTCTGTAAAGACAGACAGGAAGTGATAGAGCTGGGCAGGAAGAGGAAATGATGTAGCTGGACAGAGAGAGCAAATCAGATGGCAGAACAGCAAGGCATATAGGCATGGGTAGACAGGGAGTGTCTTGCTTTTGGAAGCTGTGGAGTTGGTGAGGTGAGGTTAGGATGTGGCTGTTCCTAGTCCTCAGATCTCTCTCAGGTTTTCACCTCTATATCTGGCTCCATGTTTGCTCTTAATAAGACCATTTGGAAATTCATCTACAAAGCTGTTTTCATTGAAAATGTCTAACATATGGGAATGAATGGTGATCTCAAATCTGGCACCTACTTCTGTAAAGTTTTCAAGAATACTGAGAGGATAGAAAGGTATGGAACACACACACCCTTTCAAGAGTTATTTTATATTTTTATTCCCACATACGTATATATGTATATATGCATATATATATATATATATATATATATATATATATATATACACATACATGCACGCACACACACACACACACACACACACACACACACACCCTGTTCTCTTTGATCATCCACCAGGATCTCATATGAATTTGAAAATAAGTATGGCTTACTTCTTGATAACCCAAACAGTTTTTTTTTAACTTATTTAGAATCATTGTCTAAGTTATGAAAACCTACAAAGAATCATTAATCTATGAGATTATTTGTAAAGAAAAGTTGTTTTGCTGGGTGGTGGTGGCACACGCCTTTAATCCCACAACTCAGTAGGCAGAGGCAGGTGAATCTCTGTGAGTTCAAGGCCAGCTTGGGCTACAGAGTGAGTTCCAAGAAAGGCTCTAAAGCTACACAGAGAAACCTGTCTCAGGAAAAAAAGAAAGAAAAAGAAAAAAAAGAAAGAAAGGTTAGTAAGAGAGCTGTTGCTATATGCATTTAATGATTATAAAATATAGATAAAACATTTATGAAGGTGCAGTTGTCCAGTTGAACTATAACATCACACAGTTTAAGGCATAATTTGAGTGGGTAAGTTCCATGTTTTCCTTTGTAAGTGGCAAGGTATAATTATCTTTGAGTTTAGAAGTGAGACATATCCATACATCTCTTAGGAATGCAGGTGTTGAGGGGCTCCCCATGCTCCACTAGATGGTCATGTACCCACGTATATACAGGAAGTCATAAATACATGCTTTGTGTTTACTTGTAAATTTCATAAGAGTTTTGACAATCATTTTTATGTATGTATATGTCCAGGCTTTCTTTCCTCACCTGAGTTACTCATTTTCAGCATTTAACAAATTAGTATAATTTTTTTTATCTACAAACAGAGACACTGGAGCTGAATGCAGACACACCCTTATCCTCAAAGTTGTTCCCTACTTGTCCTAAGAAGCAATTAACGAAAGCATAAGAAATATACTTTTTGCCAAAGAATGTTTTTCTTTTCTTTTCTTTTTTATTTTTATTTGGTTTTTCAAGACAGGGTTTCTCTGTGTAACAGCCCTGGCTGTCCTGGAACTCACTTTGTAGACAAAGCTAGCCTCTAACTCACAGAAATCCACCTGCCTCTGCATCCCAAGTGCTGGGATTAAAGGCGTGCACCACCATGCCCAGTTTCCAATGAGTATTTTTCATAGCATTACTTTTTATCTCATTTTTTGACGATATGTTTTATTTTTCACAGAAATTTTGAGTTAATTTCTCTAATATGAAAGAAAGAATAACACATAGGAAATCATAATGAAGTGATAATATCTGTTTTGAGTTCATTTTAATACTACAGTCCAGGATAAAGAAAACCATACCATATTCTCATTAATAACAGTATATCAGTAATTTTTTATTAAGGATAACACAGGTCTTGATAACATAAGGAATATTTTCTTTCAGTGGATCATGCTAACTTTACAAATTTTCTGTAAATTTAGTCTTTCTACAAAACAAACTGTTTTGACAAAACTCATTTGAGAAATAAAGTATACTGCAGTATATTAAAAAGAAGGATAGCATAGTTTATCAGAGTTATGGATTATATCTGACAATATTTCTTAATGATTATGACTAGAAAAACCTTAAAACTGGTGTGATACTATTAAGTGAGAAAATAAATCCTAGACTGTGTGATATATATATATATCGATCATGTTAGTTGTGCAAAAAGGTGTTTTGGCAATGCTCTTTTTCTGAAACTCTATTGTAATTCTAGGACTTATATAGTTGAACAGTTCATGCATACATCATGGTGTTGCTCTCATCTGCTTCCTCTAGCATAGTCTTATAGTTTAGAAACTTACTTGCCACAATATTTAAGAAGTAAAAAATAAGAAAGAAACTTTTGGTAAGCTTGGAGTCAGAAGGAAATGAATGGTAATTGACAGGATGGTTTTCATAAACATTAAGCGTCATAATTGTAAAATAAAGTAGCAGGTTACTTAGCAATGTTACGGCTTTTGAGTCTCTAAGGAATGACTTACTAAAATGGAAAGTGGTGACTTACGGATGAGAAAACACCTTTTTAAGCAGGCCTTTAAGGGTGATGTGTATATAGGAAACAACTGGAAGCCATCTTCTTTAAGAAAGACAAAAACATTCAGAGTAATGTTCACTGGTAATGAACATGATATGTGGTGATATCC